CATCCCGGGATCCGGGCGCAGCTGAGCCCGGGCCGAGCTCATCCCGCGCCGCCTCCGGGCACGGAGCGGGGGCAGGGCTGGTCCCGTCCCAAATCCATGGAAAACGGCCCCGTCCCAAATCCATGGGAAACGCCGCTAGATGTCACCCCGCGCCTTCTGGAATTCTCTCCCGCCACTTCCCTCTCCCGGTTTTCCCGGGCGGGGATGGAGGGAATGAACCGATCCCGGTTTTCCCGGGCAGGGAATGAACCGATCCCGGTTTTCCCATCCAGGGATGGAGGGAATGAACCGATCCCGGTTTTCCCGGGCAGGGAATGAACCGATCCCGGTTTTCCTGGGCAGGGATGGAGGGAATGAACCGATCCCGGTTTTCCTGAGCAGGGTTACAGGGAATGAGCCGATCCTGGTTTTCCCGGGCAGGGAATGAACCGATTCCGGTTTTCCTGGGCAGGGATACATGGAAGGAGCGATCCCGGTTTTCCCGGGCAGGGAATGAACCGATCCCGGTTTTCCCGGGCAGGGATGCAGGAGGGATGAACCGATCCCGGTTTTCCCGGGCAGGGAATGAACCGATCCCGGTTTTCCCGGGCAGGGATGCAGGAGGAATGAACCGATCCCGGTTTTCCCGGGCAGGGAATGAACTGATCCCGGTTTTCCCGGGCAGGGTTACAGGGAATGAACCAATCCCGGTTTTCCCGGGCAGGGAATGAACCGATCCCGGTTTTAGGACACCCGCCACATCCAGCTAAAGCCACGGAACGCGGGAAGCGGCGCCGCATTCCCACAGTTATCCCGGAGGAGGAATCGCTGGGATGGGAAAGAAGGAGCAGGGCCGGGAATGGGATGTGGGAACGGGGTTTTGTTGGGATTATGGAATTCTGGGATGGGCTGGGTGGGAAGGAGCTCAAACCCCATCCCAATCCCAGTCCCGCCATGGGCAGGGACCCATCCCCATATCCCAGTCCAGCCTGGCCCTGGACGCTGCCAGAGGTGGGAATTCGGGATGGGAATTCGGGATGGGAATTCGGAATGGGAATTCAGAATGGGAATTCGGGATGGGAATTCGGGATGGAAATTTGAGATGGGAATTCAGAATGGGAATTCGGGATGGGAATTCGGAAGGGGAATTCGGGATGGGAATTCGGGATGGGAATTCGGGATGGGAATTTGGGACGGGAATGACTCTTCCCTTTTCCCAGTGGAATTCCCAGTGTTTTCTCCCTGGGAATGAGCCGTTGGCACCTCTGGGGTTGTCACCCTGCACCTCCCAGATCCCGGGGAACCAGGATCCCTTGGGATCGGCATTCCCGGGATTCCTGGGATCAAACGGGCCCCGTTTCCCTGGAAGTGCCCAAGGAGCACCGGGACAGTTTCAGTTTCCACAGCGGGGATCACGCCCAGATCCAGCCCCGACAATTCCATGATTCCCTGACCCCATTCCGCTCCCGGTGCCCAGTTTTCCCGGGAATGCCGGGCCGGGAAGGCGCCAGATGGGATTTTATGGGAGCCGCCATTCCGTGGTCGGAGCCAGCGGGCGCCGCGAGATTAATTCCGCGAAATTAATTGGGACAAGATTGAAAAGGAAATTAAGGCGCAGCTGAGTGAACATTCCCAACCTTTTCCCTCCTCCTCCTCCTCCTCCTCCTCCCACCGCTGCCTCTCCCTCCCTCCGCTTCCCGCATCCCGAATTTACAGGGAAAATCCCCCAGGATCCGTCGGTTCTGGGCCAGGGATCCCAGCACAGGCAATTCCCCAAATTCCCAAATTGGGAATCCCCCAAAAATGGGGAATTCGCAGATTCCGGAGCGGGGTGCAGG